TGTACGACATTCACCATCGATGTAGGCCTATCTCAGCAACAACAACAACAAAAACAACGGCTATAACGACTATAACGACGACAACGCTATGAGGATGATACTAATAATAACGTTCATCCGGATACTGGTGGTGATAATAATGGTATTGATAAAAAGTATAATGATGATTATGTTGATGATGGAGATGATGGCGGTGTTGTTGTTGATGATGTATTTAGATGCTGATGACGTAAGGGGACTATGATGATAATGGTGGATGGTTATATATTTTATTTTCTTCAAATGCAAAAACAAAACACCCTAAAAAAATATTATCGTTGACCAAATACCGGTACATGTATCATTATATATCATTCAACATATTTTGCAAACTTTGTATGAGCTTCCTTTCGAGATGAGCTTCTTTTCGAGGCTACTTTTGCAAAGAAAAGAGGGACTTCTTTTCAAAATGAATGATGTAAATTTTGAAAATTACGGTACTTAATATAAAACAATAAATAGGGCCACTGTAACATTTGTATCATGGAGTGTATTATATATTTATTTATTTTGTTTCTTTGAAATTCATGTACAGTATATGTACTGTACTATCTCGAAAAAAAAAAGCACATGCTATCTTGAAAAGAAGTCCATGGGCTTTTGCAAAGTAAAGTGGGGGATTCAATTCTAGATGGGTTTCTTCTCGGGAATAAGCTCATCGGGCTTCTATTCGAGGGTTAGCGATACTATGTTATCATCGTAATGTACGGTAGGTTATACGATAATAATAATAATAATAATAATAATAATGATAATAATAATAATAATAGTAAAGGCCTATTAATAAATAATCCTAATTATTATACCGTACTAATTACCAATAAAATTGCCCTTAGTAATGACATCGCTATCAATACCATTATTGATATCAATAATGATACCGTAATAATAATATTAATCATAATAATATTATATTAATATATTAGCGGTAGCGTTCAAATCCTAAGTTTCTGAGCTAATCCCTGACACCCCCCATCTCAACAACTAGTGACGCCACGGGACATATCTTTAGACCTATATTTTAACAAAGATGATGTTTCATTTCAATAAAACAATTTAAAAATAAGAAAGTGAACAGAATAACGTTTGATATTCCCCGTTGTCATTGGTTTCAGGTTATAAACACTCGCTTAGGATTTTATGAGAAAACGAGATCTTTAACAGAATACTTACTGAAATCCACCACAACCTTTCCCTGATATTAATAAGATGTTCTGTTTATTATGATAAAATTTTAAATTTTACCAATACAATTACTCTCCAATCAATCTAGATTTGCTAAGCGAACACTGCGCGTCATTCAGCACTTCTTATTGAATACGGAATCTGCTGGCTTAGGCGGTAAAATATTCTTTGTTGATCTTTGGTTGTAATCACCGTGTACTTGATTATCAACAACATTTTCAAAAACGAGATCTTCGTAAGAAAATTAAGCATAATGGAGAGACTTTTGTCCAGGAGTTTATTCTATTGATTAAGGTTCTATTAGTTCATTCGTATGGAGTCTCCTAGGCGGGCTTGAGAGATCCCTAATCGCTATGCTGATTCACCAATAATCTAATTTTGTCTTTACTAACTTATCAACATTTATTTTTTTTATTTTCTAAGCCGAAAGGATGGTTCCAATTGTTTGAACTAGGGTGTAAGTCCGAACAGATATTGATAAAATAATGGCAAGATACTTGCCAGATAAATAAGAATGTTTCGATCATTCCTTATATTCTCTATAAATAGAATAGTACGTATTAATTAGGTATAACAATAAGTATCCACATAAAAAGTCGATAGAAATAGAAATGGTGCTGTACCCGCATGCATAGAGTGTAAAATTGATTGCCTCCAATTAGCATATAAATTTAAAATGAAAGTCCAAGGTTATACACCGTTTAAATCTATCAAAATCCACAGTAAGAAATAGAACCTCGATTTCAAAGGTTGAAAACCCAAATCGCAAGGCCTCTGCATAGACAGTTAAATGTCCCAGGTTCGAATCCCGGTTGAGGCACCTATTTTTTCACACTCGCAGATTCCTCTTCTTTCACCTTAAAAATTGATATATATATATATATATATATATATATATATATATTAAATGATTTCGCTAATAAAGACAATATAATTTGTTTTCAGTTATTCATTATAAACCAGTATCTATAAGTGTTTAGATTCGTAGCGTTTGTTTACAATCAGACGGTCAGTTTTACTTAAGGAAACCAATATCATGGGTTGTATGTTTGATGACTGGGACACCCTACGTCAATTAAGGTAGCCAACGTTTACAAATGTCAGTGAAATGAAATAGGGTTGTTTGAAAAAACACAATTTAATGATAGATCTTACTGGTGAAAACGATCCACTCCGCTAATATTGGTCTAACAGAGTCAATGAACGAATAAACAAAGGTATCCATAATGCATTAACAATCGTTGCATGATCGAGGAGAGCAGTCGGAATGTGTTTTAACTCGTGTAACGAGAGAACTACAATAAAAAACGAATGCTTCCAGATATCTCGTCTATCATAATAGATTACTAATTTAGTGAAGCTGTTATGTGGCGTCGCCATGTACCTCAACATAATCATTGTAACTAGCAGTTCGCTTGTGAACATTGTTTTTATTCCTAATTATACATTGCTCATTTAAGTTGTATAAACAGTAATACATGATCCGTACACATTACTTGCAGATTAGCCTAAGATATCGTGTTTTACCCTATTCAATACCAGCAAGCATAACATATTATGTTTAAAGCTTCGTATTCTCTAATTACAGTTTGTTTACAACTATATTTATCTAGGTTAATATTGTTCTATGAAACTTTCCATTTAAGTTTACCACTTTCAGAATTTGCTTTTAAAATAACAGCGCCCTCATCGTGCTAAATTGCTATCGGAAATCAAATCGGTGCTAGGTGCTACTGCGCATTACCTACTTTGCTCCTATTTTGCAATTTGAAATTCAGCTTCAGATTCACATTCATACAAAACAGAACAAAACAGCTTAGACTATAACTTGTAATCCTAGAATAAAAATGTTTTCACTTCTAGATAAAAAAAAAAAAAAATCAATCAAACTTTCTAATACAATTACGACAAGATATAAAACAAGCTATCGCAAATTGGAAAATAAATTCTGTAACCTATATATGTATATATAAGCAAATAGATTAATAATAGGTGCTATAGGCCTATATATATTATAATTTTATTATCATTATTTTTTCATATGTTATATGCGCCATATCATCATCATTATTATTATTATTATTATTATTATTATTATTATTATTATTATTATTATTATTATTATTATTATTGTTATTGTTCTTGGAATTATAAAGACTACCGGTATCAGAATTCTAAATTTCGACCAATGTTTAATAACGCTCTTGCAGATTATGCAGATGAAAATGAATTAAAGCCAGCGACCATGTATATCAATTATGTAGGTCTACCCTCACAAAATCGGCACAAATTTCAACTTGAAACGCGCATGCAGTTCGCTTTACGCAGATCTCACCACACATGACGTAGCACGGGCTTGTATTCAACCATCTCTCTGGAATAGCTTCACTCTACTTGTTTTCTCATATTTCTTGTGCCCGAAATCGAGAAGTAATATACAAGAAACACGATAGGCCAATATAAACTACTAGTAATGAAAAGTGTCATCGTCTATTGCATATGTCTATATATTTGTTGATATCTAGCACCAATTTCTTTAAACATAATATTATTATAATCTCTGTGGACTTTTTCTTTTTTAGTCGAAAACAAAGCGATGAAATTGATTGAATCAAGTTCACCGGAGATGGGCCTTGAACTCATCCGACAAAAAGTGGTGTCTCATATTTTTAATTGCAAATATATATACTGTATATACATAACTAACAAACTAAATTATTACTATATTACTAAGACTCTCATTTCGTATTGTAGATCTATAAAAGGCATAACAACAAGAAAGTATAATACATACTCCAAGTATTGAAATACACTCCATCGTGTTGGGATTCAATATTTCGACATTAATTATGTCATCATCAGGAATGAAACGATAACAACAAAGCAGCCAAATATTACAAATTGATAAGAAGATCAGACATTGTATATGAGAAAAGGCAAACAGAAATAAGTGCCCTAATTAAATTATTTAAATTTAGGTCTGATTAATTAACTATAGGCATATATATATATATATATATATATATATATAATGAGTTGTTATTTTTATATACGTGCCTATAAGTGTGTAAACTCAGTACACAGAGACATAGAACACGAGCGTAAAATGGAAATCAAACACAATTCAAATAAGGTTATTGAAAATATAACTAATAGGGCCTATATTGTGTTTCTTTTAAGACTACTAATAGTAATAGGCCTATCACTACCTCTCCGCCAACATCACAATCACAACCAGAAACGATTTCTCGTATGTACAATTATCCAATAAATCATTATCTTGATCTCCATATTTTCATATTTATTCTTCAATCGTTAATCCATAAATGTATTCTTAAATCCATTTTACTAATAATTAAATTAAAAGGACTAATTGTTATCTTATTGTTATAAATCAAACTGACAAACATTCTATAATAGGCCTACAATAGGCCTACCTCTCAGACAATGATGAACGTTATAAACGCGCGTTAATCGCTCGCCAAATTTCCAACCGTTACCAGAATACAAACACTAAGAGGTGTGCTTATTAGGATATTGTGTGTCCCAGAGGTCTCCCTTCCGTCAGCTAACATACACTCATCCAGTCGGCTCATACTTTTAAAGTCCCCGTTAGCTTCATTTCAAACCAGTTAGCATTCAAGTGTTTATTGTTTATACAATACGTGTCGAATTAACAAGATCACCGATTCCATTGCGCTTGAAAATCCATCAATGCTCCGCCTACTTGCAAAATTGATTGACATGTTCAGTGAGGTAATACCCAACGGGGGGAAAAGGTAACCACAATGCACTTCAAAGGCAGATATAGTTAGTGATTCTGTTAAGCGAACATTGTTCAGACGGGAACTCCCAAACAGAATACTTCACTTTATTTCAGCAAGAAAGTTGAAAACTGTTGTATTGTTTTTGACTTTGAAATTGAATTGCGAAAGAAATTCACTTATCAAACTGGACCACCAACGGGCCTAGAAGAGTTTTGAGGCAACACCTGGTCGGCCCTAACACTTTGAAGTCGTCAACCACAGAAAGGTGACTGGTGTTTAGATTGATGGGAGACGTGTCAGCTTGTGTCAACATTTTGCCTAACCAAGCCAATATATATTCCTGAGAAGTGGACGCAGTTGAGTGGACGTTTGTGCAGACCTTTTGGCCTCTCTGTTTTCTCGGCAAATTTAAGAGACCGTCTAGGTCAAACTACTCATTGCGTTAGTAACGAACTCTAGCAGTGACCAGAACAGCTATGCCACGACCCGGCAGAAACACTTACAGCGATGCCAAACCACCGTATTCCTACATCTCGTTGACGGCAATGGCGATTCAGGCATCTGGGGAGAAAATGTTGCCCCTCAGCGAAATCTACAAATTTATTATGGACCGTTTTCCCTTCTATCGAAAAAATACCCAACGCTGGCAAAATTCGCTTCGCCACAACCTCTCGTTTAATGATTGCTTCATCAAAATTCCCAGGCGACCTGACAGGCCCGGCAAGGGCAGCTACTGGGCATTGCATCCAATGTGTGGGGAAATGTTTGAAAATGGCAGTTTTCTTCGACGGAGAAAACGTTTCAAATCGCCGAATATTCCAACGATTGATGAAAATATGCAAATAAAGCACATCGATTCCGCCAAGTTTTTCCAGGACCAGGCAAAACTTGTTACAACTTTTACGCCGAGTAGGAGTACAGTTGCTCATTATCTTCCGGCTCAACAGCGACAATTATCAGTATCACACAACACACACCCAACGTCGCCAACATCACCTACTCCAACGCAGCAAAAGAAATCATTTTCTATAGAAAATATAATTTCAACTGAAAGCAAACCTCCGCCGATTCTTGCCCCTCAAATCATTGTACACAGGCCCCCGTTTGATATAGGACCTCTAGGATCCGACGCTATGCACGCGCCCTGGACACCTTCGTTGTGCGCGACCAGTCGGTGTAGCTTACCGGGCCAAATGTGTACAGATTGTTCAGGACATTGCGGGATGTTTCATGCGGGGTATATGCCACATCCACCGTCGTTGCCACTGTCATTTAAACCTCCAATGCATGGCCTAGCTTTTCCGATGCAAATTCCAAGAACTTTACTACATCATGCAGCACACCTCAACCACCAGTCCCCACCAAAACTCATCGAGGGATTTCTACATGCGGAAAAAAGGCGCAGTCCTAAAATATCGGAAATAGACTCACCGAACACTGTAATCAAAGCTTGAAACTTTTTTTGAAATTAAAGACAATATCCAAAACAGAGACCACTCTATACCAACATAAAAGAATAATTTTTGACTGTTCATATGTGTTGCTAAGAAATGCAATTATTTTGTGTAGTAGCTCAGTTGCAAATATGTTTTTTTTTGTGGATCGTATTCACGGTGGCTGGAATTGTGTCCGTGTTGTAGGTACGTAGGCCCCATTATTATATTTTAGAAATCAAACTTTGATTGAACACACAGGATACAACTAGGGCTAGGCCCTATATGAATTTACGTGAAATCATTACAGTATTTCAATTATCGGGCTAACTAGTACCGGTATGTTGATAATACAGTAACCCCGGCTTGCATTTATTTATAATCTTGTCTTTCTACCCGCAAGATTTTGCATAGGTGTTAGATCTAAATATTTAATTGTTTGCAAAGAACACCAAAGTAAGTTATCTTACCTACATCTTTTTTTTCTTCAAAATAATGTGCGTTTTCTTAGCTGTCTATTGCAACGAATATTAATGTTTAATGAAGTGAATCGTAAACACTTTTATAAGAGATAATATGTTAATGTTGAATTTGTCTTTAATACTACGTCAAACTATATTTAATTAGGTCTATAGTTATTATTCATATGTATAGATGATGAATGAAATAGGTAAAGCTAAGCTTACTCTCAGTGAACAACTGCCTCAAGGCTGGTGCATGCTTGTTTACTATTTGGGAAATGCCTTTGAAACTATCAAACAAAAGCGTAGTAATGCTTAGTGTAACGGAAACGTCATTCTATTATTTTTGAACTGCAAGTTGGTATGATTTATTCTGAAATCTTCGTCTATATTTGCGACTATATCGACTCTCTACTGAAATCAACCGTTGGCTTTATTTCTCCAATTTAAAAATAAAAAAATATTTGTAATTTATAAAAAGAAATTGTTAAACATTTCAATAGGTGTATTATTAATCAACCGTGTATTACTTATGTGCAATGCAAACTATGTCGATGTTGTTTGGTAGAACCCTCCGCTCCTACTTTGTCTTTTAGTAAAATTTATATCACATTCATGAGATTGATATTAAAATATGCAAATAAATCTACAGCATATAGTTGGTATAAATTACCAAAGTGTGCCGGTACTATTGTTACTAAAGTGTACGTCAACCACCGAAAGTCGGAGTAATTTTGCGACTTTAAACAGCTCATTTAAATAATTCTTTACTAGTTATAGGCTATCGTTTATCAAAAGATGAAAAGTTAGAGTTACGTGTTGTATAGACTTTTAATTCTTTTTTAAACCTTATTAAACCTTAATATCAATGAAAGAAAACACAGTTGAAAAATATTTCTTTTATTGCCAACCTAAAGTTGTTGATATTTAAATAGTGTAAAGATAATTGGTCTATAGAGTAAGAAAATTGATGTTGTTGTTGAATGTATGAACAATAAATGTTATTAAATTGATTTCAATCTACTGTTAATTTGTAACTGGTGAACGTTGTGTTAATAATGGGCATGACCATGCACAGAAATGTGTTAAGTATACAACACTTCTTAAGATACCGTCAATACAGTTAATTCAAATCGATAAAGACTGCATAAAGTTGTGGTCGTTACACTTATGCTTACAACTCCGGAAGGATATTCCTCGGACACTTACTAATTACGTTTATTTACCTTATACTGCTACGATATATTGTAGTGAAAGGACACTTTAATAAAAATAATATTCCTTGAATTTGACACACATAAATTTCATATACCCTGAATTTGACACATAAATTATAATAAACAATAATTTTTTTTCATGATCAATTATGCATTTTATTAGCTTCATTTTAACTTTTCTAACGAGCCTTCACAACCACCAACGTTGTGTTTGTTTTTTAAATATCGAAATACTTAGGCCTAATCATTTTTTCAAGACACAACGCGGTAATTTTTCTTGCAAGCCTAGGCCTATACCCAGATCGGATAGAAATCCGTTTTCGCTCATGTAGGTCTACTATTCATTGTTATCTTCAGCTCAGAGATGGGTCACGTTAAGTTTTACACCTCATCGTTCAAAGTTTATCGAGGTAATTTGAAATTCATCAAGACTTTCTGGTTGCAATACGGGAGAGCACATAGGCTAGGCTATACAAACGTGCTTCAATTGAGCTCTGCCGAACTCCACAGCTGTTCCCGCCAGGAATCCCTGGCTTTATGTATCTTTTCAATCAGTACCTGTCTAAATTAGTTTCTTCTTAAACAAGTTGTGGAAATTGAACGAAAACAAGACGAATCTACCACGTCAACGGAATTTGAAAACATGTACACTTTAGTAGACAAATGTAAGTAAATATTTTGTTGACTTGGTTATTTTTTGAAGGTCAGTTATTATTAAAACATAACTTAACTCTAGCTTAAAATATTGTTTAAACCATTACACTGACACATTTAGTGGCAAGTCGGTTAAACATCACAAAATGATTTTCTGTCTTTAAATAAATCCATCTGGTTGCAGTTTTTGTTTTTCTTTTGTTTAACCAGTATAATAACATGTTACATACCTGCAACGTTTCAGATGCACTTCGGTCATATATATTTTCGTATCTGTATGTATTGAAATGGTTACACCCAAACAAAATTTCCGTCTTTGGGACAACAAAATAATCTTGAATTTCGAAACCTTTAGCAAGCCTTTGATTTTATATAGGCCTATGTTCATTACTGCGCACAGTATATACAACATACACCTACCAACAGTTAAAAAACTTAAATTGCAACGTTAAAAGATGATTACAAAATAATTTATAACATTTCAGAAAGTATAATAATGAAGATAACGGTGAGATAGTCATATAATAAACATGTATAGGTTTAGAATTAATACAAATTGTTGCGACATTAGGCATTAATAACAACGAAAACAAAGAAAAAAACCTGAATAAAATTACAGTATCAAGTTATTCGTTTAAGATATCACAACAGATTATTAACACAATATCAAACTAAACATTGCAAATTGAAAAAAAAAATGGAATTGGGCCTATTAATTTTATCCACCTGCATAAATTACTGAAAGCTATGTATACAATTGTACCAAAACAAATTCGTTGTTTGATATTGTCATAGAAGCAACGCATGCCTTTTAAGCCTTTTACAGTTCATTATTATAATGGCCAACGCTCCTATCTTGAGCTTGGCAAAATTTACTTTTAATTCGAAAAAAAAAAATCAATTTCATTATTATTACTACCTTCATTACTAGAATCAGCATTGTCAACAAAATATTTCTAATATGTTACAGTTTAAGATCTGTTATAATACAAAATCTCATTATTGATAAAGAAAAAATAACAAATAATTGTATATTGCAAACCGTTATTCTTTTTAATCAAATTTCAAATTTAATTTTAGACAATTTTATATTTTATCTAATTATAACGTTCTAATTAATCACTATAATTAATAAGAACGTTATAATTAGATAAAACATAAAATTGTATATAATTATAACGTTCTTATTAATCACTATAATTAATAATAATATGGCCTATATTAAATTCTGAAAATAGACAAGCTTTGGTGCGCTTTGGTACCAAAAGGATAGCCTGAGATTTTTTTTTATTATGGTATTATTAAGTTATTCTCTGTTATCTTAATCTTAAAACATTGATATAACAACACACTTGGCATCACGAACTTGCCGCTTTATTTACTAAGCAGTGTCAACAAAATGTAGCATTAGTTCGTATAATGTGTGCACATTAACTGCACAGTGGGTGTCGGAGAGTGATTGAACATAAACTTTTAACCTGAATTTGAAAAAAAAGTCGAAGCCAACAAAACACAAGAACAACAATGTACATCCAGTTTTGAAAGCATCGTAAGACGCATTGGCTTTTCACAGAGACCATATTCATTCGCTTGAAATTGAGAAAGGTACTGAGATACCGTTATAAGAATCGATTTGTCAAAAGGAAAATCAACATCATATACCAAAGCGTTATTTATAATCCTTTGGAAAAAACATTACTTTTTTCTATATTATACAAATATAAAACATGGATCCTAGGTTATCTCACATACCAAAATTTGAAATTTAATCATTTTTTATGAACTTTGATCCAAGATAAATTATAGAAATACTTAGGCGGCCTTAAATCATGGGCCTATCCATATCAACCGATAGAAACTCTATTCGACCCCTTTCCACTGATATCTCACGTAGTTCCACATAATTTGGTTCATAATGATATACCAACATGGTCTTATATTTAAAAAAAAACGTTATTCACTCATTTAAACATCAAATCAATCAAAACAATATCAATATCAAGTAGGCCTATTTTTTCCAGTATGCATGTACGACAAGCAAATAGGCCTATACATTTTAGCTTTATTTGTATTTTTAGATAATTTGACCAGAGATCTGAATAAGGTACCGTACCGTGTCTGATTATGTGTGCCATATTGACTAAATATTTTGAAATATAGCCTATAACAATAATAAAATACCGGAAACAATAATAAACCTTGTATCTGTGATTGTGGTCTCAGGTTGTACGGTACCTAAATATAGGTAATAATTTATTATAACGTTATGCAATTACAATTATGTCCATTATTGATACTGTATGCTTATTATCATTATTATTTGTATTAGTAGTATTATGATTGTTATGACCAGAGTGGAGCTGTGAGGCATGGCAGTTAAGGTGCCTTACTTCCAATCGTAGTGCTCTTGGTTCAAACTTCAGTCCCTCATAATGATACCTAGTTTATGTAAAGCATCTTGTGTATGTTTGCCAATACTTGGCCCATAAATAAAGAGAAATATATAACTGCATGGAAGGAAGCTATCCTAAGTTCAACAAGTTCAACTTTTGACAGAGTTGTACATAGATTAATACAATAATACAACACATTATTATTATTATCACTATTATTATCTTTATTATATGATATTCCAAACTTATTATAAAATATTTATTTTTATTATTCATATCAGCCTAGTGCAAACATTTCTATTACTTTTTATTCGCCGATACCCACGGAATTCTTATTCATATGGGTTGTTCTATATTTTCTTTCCTTAAGTAATTACAATATAGGCAAGGCCTATACTACCTCTGTGTATTTATTTATATAAAAAACACCATCACTACAATATGACAGCTAGGCCTACTATTTTCTATCAGAATTAACAAATGATATGCAACAAATAATCTCATATATATTTCAGTTATACATATTTAATAGAACACTGAGTGCTCACTTTTGACATTACAATCCCGGAATTTGTTTCACGACATTTGGTGTTGAATTTCTACTATTTTAGCATCAATTCGAAATTTACAATAGAGTTTTGCCGACAATGTTGCCGGTATAATTACTGTCAATTTAACTGATGCTTTTCATTTGATTCTCACCTTCATAATCAATTGAAATACGGCGACATATTGAAATCAATGTACAAGATAGGATATATATATATATATATATATATATATATATATATAAACAAATAGAGATAAAATAACAACAGTGCTCGAATAAATAGGAACATTATATATAAAGAATAGGCCTATATACTATATATGTATATATATATATATATATATATATAGGCTTATATGATTATAGGCCTATATATCACACAGGTCTATTACCCTATTACTTTTTAGTAGGCCTATTACGTCATGCTTTTTATAGTCCTATCGCAATTACTGTATATTATTTTATAGTTCTATCAATAGTACAGTATATTTTATTATACTATGTTATGTTATATAAATACAGTAGTTCTATTTCGTTTATTATAGCTATGATTGTACTGTTTTATTGGCCGCGTATGATTCTCACAGTGGCCCGAGCGACCAGTACCGTACGCAGTAGCATGATAGATTTGTATTAGGCTAGGCCTAGCATTGGTCTACAATAGCTTAGAGTTTTATTGTCTTTTAGAATATTATAGTTTGTGTACATTATGAAATTGTATACGATGTTTTTTTTTTTAGATTCAATTGGCTCAAATTAATCATAGGATTATATACAATAAATAGGCCTAAATGTAGTAGGCCTATACAAAATAGGCCTTTGCGTATTATGCATAAATAAGTGTAATATTATAATAATGCCCAGTTTTTGTTAACTATTGTATTTTTAAGTATTAAAGTTTTAAAAATTAAGTACGTGTGATTTTTCTGTATACGGGGTATTGATTTTTTTTTTCGTTTGCTTAATTTTTAAATTTGCAATCGTATAGTAATTGAATTGATTATTATTTGTTGCGGATGCAATTTGGATTTGCACATCTTCAGATGACGTATATATACCCAGTGGAGTCCTCCGTCAGTACCAGATGACAATTTATAATGTTTATAATCTTCAGGAGCCCACCATTTAATTATAATTAATTATGTTAAATGTCTGTTGTAGGCTTACAGCTATTTTATAATAAGTATAGGCCTAAATAT